CTGCACATAGCTGCTCCTCATTTAGGATTCAGGGGCATTTTTCATAGACTTTGCTCACACGTCCGCTCTCCTCATCGTTCTTCCTCTCAACCCCAAACTTTAAAGTCCTCAAATATGACAATCTCTTTAACCCAGAGTCAGACCTTGATAGGGGCATATTTCTCGCCCATTACCCCACCTTTCTGTTTCTGGAACTGTATGTACCGCAATGTGCTGCTGAAAAATGCATCTGGGGCTGGACTCACATTTGTAGAGTCGCTTTGCATCTCAGTTTTAATTAACTCCACCAATCCCTGGATTGCAGCACTTGTAATCTGGGGGTTTCCTTTCTCAAAGAAGTAGAGGTACCTGATGCAAAACTCATGAATCAACCTTAAATTATACAACACCGTTGTAGCAATATAGAATGGAAGAGCATGACTGGCCCACTGCTACTTAAATTATACTTCAATCTGGCACAGTAAAAAAAACTGACTTGTTCAGTATCTCAACAAAGAGCGTGACTGGCCCACTGCTACCCCGAGTTACGCTGGCCATCTGTTGAGCAGCATTTGCAATTCTCAAGGCACGCTTTAAACAAAGCAAGACCCTGTAAAAAAACAGCACTACTTGTTGTAATTACAGGTTTTAACCACCATAAACTTGCTCCATAATAAAGATAACCCAACATGCGAATATTTGTGCAACTGCAGACAAAAATGTATCGACATGCTTAAATCCAATACATTGATTTTGAGTAAACTTACCTTTCTCCATCTTTAACACCATCCTGATCATCAACCCAAAAAAGATGTGAACATGCGTACACCGCTCGGCACTGATCAGGTTTCTTCAAAAGCTTTGCTGAATACTGACCGAAGGAAACAAACATAAATTATGGTGTTTCACAGCAACAAATTAAAAACCAATGATCAAATGATACGAAAGGATTGTTACCCCTGTGGCCTTGTGTGTTAAAGTATCCCTGTTCTCAACGCCAAATACATTCATCCTTTGGAGAGTCCCAATAATGAGATGTATTGCAGTCACCTGGGCTTTGGAATCCTAAAATTGAGGGTACATTATGATGTAGAATTATTAAGGCCAAATGCCACACTAGACAGTCTTTTTATAGAAATACAACTAGAAACCACTTCCTTCAGATCTATGCAATAAATTACAAGATAATGATTGACAAACAATTACCGCAACTTCTTCTTCATATAATACAAATGCCTGAGTGAAGAATTCATAAGCAACAGGTTCAAGATCACAGTCATTAGCAGCCTGATTGTGCATGAATCAAAACAAAGAGGTCAAAAAACAACAGTTAGTCTGCAGCCACAATGGTATAGCCCTAATTTCAAGGTTTACAGGATGATGCTATAAGAACATGCATGACCCAAACTGCAAAGCCTGCACACCATGCATTCTCACAGATGTTGCATACCTCAGCACATTCCAAGTACAACCTTAACGCCAGTTCAGGAGATGGAACTGAGGAAAGAGCTTCAATAGTCTGAAATAAAGTAGAAGCATCATTATAGAAATATGAAGACATGTATAAAGTAGAAGCACATTGATCGCCACACATTAAAAAAAAAAAAAAAATCTTCAGCAAGGATTATGGCCAAACAAACTAAGAAGCGACCAAGTGCATTCATCTAATTACCTGATTTAAAATCTGAAAAATTTTCTTCGGTGTGGCAGGCATCTCTTCTCCGACTACCTCTCCATCCTGACCTTGCAGCCGCCTAACCAACTGCAAGCCACAACCAACATTTTGAGAGGTGATTTTAACACACTTCACTACTTCATAATAAAAAGTTCATACATAGACAAAATGAAACAGCAAACATGCCACAATTTGAAGCACAAAGAGGCATAGCATACCTTGAGTGCAGATAATATAAGAGGAGGAACAGTAAAAGGTAGGCGCTTTGGTCCTCCACTCATTATGTGCTTCTTGACCGTACATAAGATCTGAAGGTATCATAAAATTAAAGTAAGATTTCTCTGAAGTTAAAATAAAAAACAATGAATTTCGTACATGGAACCAACTGCAAGCCACAACCAACATTTTGTATGACCCTTCAACATTATTGCCTACTCTCTTAATTGCAGACATGAGAAACAGGAAATTAATGAGTCCCTTCGAATTTTGAATATTGAGATCTTATTCATCTATCGCCGTGTGTCCCTATGCATGCCTAAGAACTGTAACAAAGATAAAAATAATAACAGACACAAGCATCTCGACAAAAATGCAACATGCGTAAATCTGCACGTCAGAAATGCTAATGAGGGCAGTACTTTCAACTGGGTCTAAATGGCAGTCAGAAATGCAACATGCGCAAATCTGCACATCAGAAATGCAAACGAAGGCGACTCCTGCAAATGGCTCTAAATGACTGTCATATATGGGCACTGAGGATTATCATGCTTTCACAAGTCTGACATACATAATTTCCAAAAGGATAATTTTTCAGTAACATCAATAAAACCTAAGAGTAAGTTGGCTTCTGAAAACAACTTCTAGATGGATGCAGAAATTTCAACCAACATTAGCATCAAGAGAAACAATAAAACCTTAATGACATCAATGACTTACCTTTAACATTTCCTCTGGATCATCATTATAAAGCATGTGTATAAGGCGAGCAACAGAATTTTGTTCCTCTCCAAAATCCTCCTCATCAAGCTATCAGTAGAAAATAACACAAGAAAAGACCAAGGTCAGCCAAAAAAAAGCAAAAAAATATCATCGAGTGTTTTTGGTGAAATTAAATTTACATTAAAAAGAAAAAATCATGTGGATCAAGGGACTTAAAAAGTAGGTTACTAAGAGATG